AAAAACAAAACAAAAAAAACCCCAACAACCAAAAAAAAAAAAAACCAAAAAACAAACCAAAACACATGGGTTTTTTTTTTTTTTTTGTTTGTTTGTCTGTTTCATTTTCAGTTTCTCATATCGATAACACTGGCACAGGGCATTGTGCAGGAACTGATGACCAGATGTCATTGGCAACATTTAGCTTTTCATTGACAGTCAGGTCCTTACAGTAATCCATCTTGCAAGACTGTCTTGAAAGTTATGGCTTAAATAGACTGGTTTGTTAGTTTGTAGATGCTCCATCAGAAATAACAGCATCTTTTCTTTTTGCCAACCAAGAGATAGACCTCAAATTGATCATTGTATCATGGACAGCATTTTCAAGCTCACCTTTGAGTACCAAATTAAAAGTCTGAATTTCAGAGACCCAGATCACTTACAATTTATGAAGGTCTGATACTAATGAATACTGAGCAGATTCTCAGAAACCCTATTTAAAACACTTTACTCTTTGTATAAAATGGACTTTTACTATAGGCATAAGAGTGAAAATTTGGTTTAGCATTATTTGCATTCACATTGATATCCTCTTGTATTTCAAGCTCATGAATCATATTGTTAGTTACTAATATCTTTTGACAAATAAAGGTAGATAATTACCAACCAGCTACATAAAATTTTCTTTTTTATAATTTTATTTTTGTTACAAATCTTTAGGAAAATATGTGCATCATCTACATAATTCACATTGCAGATCATATGACTGGTACGAAAATTCCAATGGATAGTTATATACATGAATGGATTTGTCAGTAATTACTCCCTTTTGCACAAACCTACAGAACAAGAGTAAAGATATCCTACTATGCCATTGCTTCTGAGATGGATGCAGACCCACTAGATTTACTTTCACATTCAATTTATTCGTAGGTTGTCCTCTAGTATGGTTTCATTTTAGACAGAAATAACCATTTATTTACTTCCTATAGTCTGCAATAGTATGGCATTATTAAAAAGATACAGTGCAAAACCATCAAAAGATACATATCTGAAGAAAATTTATTTTACTTAGTTAGAAAAAAGTATTGACTGAAAATTTTTATTGGGGACAGCCAAGAAATGCACAGAAGCACATAATACAGTACAAATGTGGATTCATTTGTATGACTTTTCAAGAAAGCAAAGCAGGTAAACAATAAAATAATGAAAGTATATTATTAATATAAAAATATAGATTCAGCAAAGAAACAGTAGAATGACTCTTAGCTTGGCTAGTTGCCAAAGTAGTACGTGAAATTACTCATTATAATATAAGACAAAGAGACATTCCTGATTTTATTTGCTCTGTTAAAATTAGTATAGGTGTCCCATCTTAGAATGGCATTGATATTTAAAGGGTGTTCTTTGTCATTTTCAAAAAGTTGCATGAAAGGTGCCAGGTCACACTTTGCAAAGCATGAAAAGCAATAACCCAAACAAAAAGACCACATTGCTTCTGAGTTCCAGACTTTAAAGTTCCTGGTACTTTGGGTGACAGGTTTTCCAGGTGTCTGAGCACCTGGGCAGAGGTGAAGAGCCAATGCAGTTCATGATGACTGCCCAAGGCAGAAGCTGTAAAGATCCATTGAGGCTTTCTGGCCTCTGTCACCGCACTCAGATGTTTTGTGAGGAGCTCTCTGCTTGAGCTTCCTGAGGATCACAGGACTGCGAGGGGGCTTGTGATAGCAGGGCCCCCGGAGCCTCTGCCCCAGCTCTGCTCAAAGCAGGGTGAGCAGTGAGGCTGGCAGGAACTGCTCTTCCTGCTCTTGAGCTCAGGCAGCTCTAGGAATATGCAGTTCCCCACCAAATGAAAGAAATTGAGTTGAGGAGCTTTGAGGACCTGTGGGATCTACCAACACTTCTCTGCTTTTCTTTGAATTCACTCTTGCTGCTAGACTTGCTGTTACTTGATTTATCCTCACTGTTTAAAAGTCGAGCTTCTGCCGTGCAAACATCTACTGCCTTTCCCCTAAGTGCATGTGATTGTAAGTACAGCTCTTGGCCAAAACAAACTGCAGGATCAAACCCAATATTAAACCCATTTATTTTCCTGAAAAACCTTTGTTCAGTGGAAACTTCTAAAGGGAAAAATATGAAACTCTTGTTCTTGCAGGTAGTCTCACTCTTGTTCACACAAACTCTTGAAGGCAGAATACTTCTGCCTGTGTAGATGCATGAGGGTAAAATATGAAGTATTCCTCTCATCCTAACTCTGTTATGGCAAGAGAGGATATGTTCACAGCAGGTGCACACAGCAGAACTGTTGCCCAGAGCAGGCTGCAGGATGGCTGTCCAAGCTGATCCTGGGATCAAGTTCAAATATTAAAAGATTACAGATATTTAAGTAACAGTGTTAAAGAAAATCAATGCAGAATTTTATCTTTCAGAGTTTTTATTTGCTTTTATCCTAACCAATTTACACTCTGAATTGGTTCTCCAGACAGAGCTATTTCTTACAGCAAAACCTAGTATTATATCCTATATTTCATAGCTGTATTTCTTCAGAGCTTGGTTAATTCCATGACTTGGAGGGTCTGCTGTCTTTCTGTAAGATCATGCTCTCTTTCTGAATGAGCAGGCAAACTCCAGAAGTCTGCACACAGCCTGGAACCCTGCGTTGGCACCTAATGTCTCAATTCAAAAAGACTTTTAGACACATTAAGCACAAGCTTACTGTGAAATGGGTATTCAACAGTCTTGTCAAGCTAGAGTAAGGTCTTTTGGCTTCAACTTGGTTGAGATTTCACCCTGAGAAGAAACATGTATATAGGACGCTGAAATCATATTGTACCCTCTGCCCGTCCCCCCACCATGGGAAGAGAGTGTTTACAACCACTTCACTGGAGCTGATGGAGTGCAGAGAGGCGTTCCAGCTGGACTGAAAATAATGCTGTTAAAGTGGGCCAAAGGGGGCTTTAAAAATGGGTACCTTAGCTGCTCATATTCTGTCCTCAGAATGCCATCGGCTGAAGGTGAGAAAACAGCTGGAAAACTCCAGGGCAAAATAAAGCTTTTTCTACTGATCTGCTTAATGTAGGATGAGTTGACCTTGAGGATTTTAGAACAATGAAATAAAATAAAAGTCAATAGGTCAGTCAGTAAATTAGCAAAACAGCTGCACCATTCTGGCAATGTCATAAGTTACATCAAGAAAGTACTTTCACCTCTATCTCACAGAAATCAGATAGTGATCTGCCTCGTTATTAAAATGTTAAAGCTATAAAAGAAATAGTGAAACCAGCATTATACCTGCATAGTTCAGTAAAAATGCCAAAAGGCTATTTTCTGTAATGAGATGTTTTACATCATCTAGGCACAGTGGGCAAAAACCATAACGAATTGGGCTAAGTCAAGCAAACCTTCACTACACGGTTCCTGTGGTGATATTCAAAATGTAAGTTTGGTGCCTGATGTGCAATTTAAGTTCATTGATCCACTAAAGTAATAAAAAGAATCCTGCTTATGCTCTCACCACCTGATAGACTGCACACCTGTAAGATGTTCCTACACACCAGCAGCACACAAATAAGAGTTAAAATACACACAAAGATATAGCATGCCAAGGGAAGCTATGTCATCTGGAGGTGAGAAAGAGTTAACTCAGTGTAACGACTCTTATGGCATTGTTGATTTATGTCATAGTGGGTCACAGCACAAGTTTTCCTCTGCCAGAGATCCACTGGTCACCTATTCTCCAAACACAGGTATTCCAGAAAAAAAATGTTCATTTAGGCACCTGCAGATCTCATACCAAACATGTTTAGACATGGTCCTGCTGGTCAAAGAGTATAAGACCACTTTCATACATTCACTGTTTTTATTCTACAAATTAGAGTCTTGCCATAACTAATGAATAGATGCTGAAATCTTCTATTATATTTGGCTCTTGAAGACTTTCTGAAGTCAGGTCTGGAGTTGTAAATTGTTAGATTGCCATCCATAATGCAAGGACTGCAAAAGCTCCTCTAAAAGGAATGCCTTCCCATTTGTTAAAGATGCTTCTCTAAATGCCATAAATAGTCAAATCCCAAACTGCCAGTCAGAAGTGTGATCAGACTGCATCACTCACTGCAGTGTGCACATCACACAGTGAGGCCATGGTAGTAAGTGGTAATGTGGTGCATTAGACTTGCTCAGTATCATGGTCAGAAGAGGCTCAAATGGTAATTGTAATCTAGCATGATGTTACAGGTAGGGACAGTGTTATTTAGAAAATCTCCTGTGAAAATGTTGTTTTAAAAAAAGTGTACTGAGATTCTGCTGTTAAATCATTAGAAAAACATGACCAACTTCTCATTTAATTTAATTTCATTTCATATCCACTCTTATTTATATCTGGTTTTCTGAAGAAATTACAGTAACATTATTTAGTACAGGTTAAGTGGATCCTTGTTTTTAAAATACATTTTCTTTTTATCCACAGAAGTTACTTTTATGGAAGTCATTACTTCATTGACAGAGTTTTCTTCCAGTTGTGACAGTTTCTCACATCATAAAATCAGTGTCAGGATTTCTATTTAAGTATCATTTTCCTATGTTGAATACCTTTACAACCTGTCTGATTAGTTCTATCCAAATGTAGAATGAGTGAGATTTACCATATTCAACACCTTCATCAATCACGAAGAATCACCTCACTTGCAGATATTTCTCCCATAAAATCTTTACATTACCCTAAATGTTCTAAGTCACACTTCAGACCAAGATTTCCCCTCCTATTACTTGTTTTTATTCACATAACTTAAATGAACCAAGTAAGAATTAACATATGAAATGACTGACTTTTGAAATACCCTGCTTGGCGAAGGTTCCTTGTTACCAGTAAAAAAGGCACTGAAACTACACCCTGAAAATGCTGTGTTTCTAAATCTATTTAATTCCAGTTTGTTGAGTCCTTATTCATTTTTCAGCTCTGAAATAGTACCCATAGTCTAACCTTAATGAAATGCTTTTTTGTTCCATTTGATTTACAATTTTAGCTCCAGAAGTGTTCCAGGCTTTTATGGATGGAGGTCCAGGATACTCGTACCCAGTAGACTGGTGGTCTCTAGGAATTACAGCCTATGAATTACTGAGGGGTTGGGTAAGAATGATGGAGTTTGTTGTTATCTAACAAAAATCTCAAGTTTGTAGTGCCCCTGAGTGCACTCTTCAGGATAAAATTTGAGTGTACAAGGCCCAGGTCAGTAATGCCGTCCTGGCTCTTCCCCAGCTGAAAACACTCTTGGGAAAGTTTCACCCCATACTCAAATCCATTATGGAAACTTGCCTCAGTTTGGATAAGGAATGGCCTCATATTTAACAGCTTCTTTATAATGCTGAATTGCAAACAATGGTATGGGGTTTTTTTTAAATAGAAGTTTAGTTACTTCACACTCTATTTTCTCTTTAATTCTCTTGGCTAATACCATAAGAGATCTAATGTGATATCCTAAGATGCTTGGCCCAACTGCAGAAAATGCTTATCTGCCAGTGCATTTGTTTCTTAACTAATCAATTGTGTGAATAAGCTTAATGAAAAATCTTCCTGAGCATGGTAGAATATCACAGGAGATAATGGAAAATTCTTTTCTGTTTTGCTTCAAAGGATTTCAGTCAGTTGCTTAAATATTTAGTATTCTCCACAGAAAACAGTAATTTAGATACTATTTCAGGATGATGTAGCTAAAGCAGCTGTTTAGGGTTTTTTAAATTATTTTTCATTCTGTTTTGGAAAGTGGATTTTATTGCATTGCAGTATGGTTTTTTATATTATGACAATAACACAGTTTGGCTACCTTGTCTTGCCAGACAATCCATCCCACAAAGATCTCACAATTTCACAAAGGATAACAGATAAAGGAAAATAGAAATAAGAAAGAATTATTATTCTTACTTTTAAATGGAAAATTTCATTTCAGAGTGTTTGTTTATTGTTACTGCAGAAGCTATTTTTTCAAAGGCCTAAAATTTGGCCAATCTATTTTGTATTTCCATAGGAATAACAAAAGTCATGCTCCTGAGACAAATATCTCTCCCATGCAAAGACTGTTTAATCTCTCAAAATAGAGGAGTATTAAACACCTTTCTTACCAAAAACAAACACAAACAAAAACAAACTAGGAAATATTATCAATTTTTCTGTACGATAATTCTCAAACCTTAGGGAGTTTTTAGACTGATGTTATTCCTGGAATGGAGGAGTTAAAGTCTGTTGATAAGCACAATGCATCCTCAGTCCTAGTCACAGACAGTAGTTCTAGCTGCACTTAGAGTAAATTAAAATAAGATTCTGATAGTTTAAATCAACCCTTTCACCAGTGACTGTCTCCAAGAAAGGAGAGCAATGAATGATTGTTAATGGAAGCTGAACTCCCAAGACTAATCACAAAAGATCACTTTGATGCAACAATTCACTTTAAAAATGAAAAATTATATAGCATGATATTCATTTGCTGAGATTCATACAGTCTTTCCTGAATAAGTCAGGGTTTTTTTGGTTGTTTTTTTTTAAATAAAAACATTCTATCTGAACCTGCTCAAGTCACTCAAGCCAGCTGCTTGTTTTCTCCTGAAGAGCAGCTCTTGGCTACTGAGCAAGCCAGAGGATGGCTTAGCAGCTCACACCACCCTATGGGCAAGGAGAAGGTGTGTATTTTCTAAATTTTTGTGGTCTAAACAAGGCCTAAACTGGCACAGGTGATGATGAGAGAGGTAGTAGTGGGTTGAGGAGATGTGCTTAACCCGAGGCCCATTGCCATCTCAATAACTGCGAGCTCCAGAGCCCCATCTGCCACAGCAGCGGATGGCTGTGGAGGCACAGGTTGCACACAAGGCTGTGAGCTAAACCTGCAGGCATGCAGCCCCTGCTCCTGCAGGTTCCCACAGCTCTGTCCAGCAGAGGAAACAGCCCCACTGCCACCAGGAACAGGGGCAGGCTCTCGGAGCAGCCCACCCGCCCCAGCAGCAGCAGCCCTGGCAAAGAGGAGGCTGTGGCACGGGGCAGAGCCGCTGGACACAGGGCTTTCTGCAGCTGGAGCCTGGTGCATGCTGCATGGGAAAGGCAGGAGCCAAGAAAGGATGGAGCATTAGACATAAAAAACATCACAAATTTGATTTTCCACCTCAGAGCCGTGCATAGTGTATGATGCTGACAGTCTGAATTCAAGAGGTGATAAGTAAATGAAAAATGAGTAAAAATTAGTTGTTTTTCATTCAGCTGAATTTTTGTTTTTATTTGCCTCTGCTGCTCATGGTGATCAAGACATTTCAGCCATTCTAATTTCTGGCCTCCCACTGCTGGGCAGCCAAAACCATGCTCTTCTTGAAATAGACCAGTAGATACAGGAGCGTGTTGTGTCCAGTACAGAGCTTTCTGCACCATTTTTTTGGTTACCCATAGTACAGCTAACATTTCTTAATAAGTTACATAATGTACATTTTTCTCCTTATTCAGCTGCTGGTAAGAAAGCTAACAAGAAAAAACAAAATTCATACAGCTTTTCATCAAACATCGATCTTTTCACAAAGTCCACGAAATTAAACTGTGATTAAACTGTATGAAAGTTAAATATACGCATGAATTGTCCCAGAATAAGACAATATTCAATTCTTTAACAGATTAGATAACTAACACCTAGAAATATTCTTAAATTATAATCCTCTACCAGCACATACTAGCAAAGGGATGATTCATTTCTTAGTCAAGGTAATGAGCATCTGCCCTTTGCTGTTCAGGATATTGGATTAATAGGTAACTCTAGGTTGTTTATGAATTATGATGCATTAATTTGCACACTGCTGCCAGGATGGCATTTAGCTGCAGATCTCATATCACATATTTATCACCTGCTGGGTACAACTTAATTCACTACCAATCCACTCTCTGCACATGTTTACTAAAATACATTAAGTATAATTATAACAACCTGCTTCAAACACACAAGTATATGCACAGAAAATAGCAAGAATATAAATTTATATGTAATACATTATTTCCAAATTCTGCATGTAATAAAAGATAAATCAGAAAAAACTTAATGAACAAAGTACTGCAAAGACCAAAGATTTTCTTCATCTGTAGAAGAATTTAGGCACTGCAAACACATGACAGCAGATCCATGTAGTGTGTTAATTTTAGATTTTAAAAAAAGCAAAGGAGCAGGATTGGGAGTTGGAGTCCTTTTTTACTGTGATTCTCACACAAACTTTTGTAAGCATTTTTAATTTCTTTATTTACTACTCAGTAAGATTAGGATGACAAAGCTCCTTTCAGCCACCTCTTTACAATTTTGTTGGCTTAGGTTGCAAGAACTGATCACTAGAATTACAAGCAAAAAGTGGTAAACAATCCACATTTCACATGGAATGCCCCAGGAACAAAATTATTTATTCATCTCATTTGAACTGAGACTTCCTTGCATGAGAGAAAAAAGGGAAAAACTTGCAGAGTAAATGCATCTATGAGTAATTGCATTCATTACAACCAAAGAAAAGCACACACACAAAGGATTAGACTTAAAATTGTTATACAATATTTTCATGGTTTTGATATTTTCAAGTAAAACAATACCGAGCTCAGGAAAATGTGACTAGTCCGCACTCTTTTCTCCATTCTTTCTGACTTGCTCTTGATTTAACTTTGTCCTAGAGGCCCTATGAAATTCATTCAGCCACCCCCATCGATGAGATACTCAACATGTTCAAGATCGAAAGAGTTCACTACTCATCCGCATGGTGCAAGGGCATGATAGCACTACTGAAAAAGGTAAGAAAGCACAAATACCTTCTGCCCTCTGTTCTCTCCTCTTCCAGAAGCCTCTCCAACACTGGAAAAGGCATCAGACAAACACACACATTAGGCAGTCAGCATCTCAAGGATAAGAGAGCAGAGTTTATTCAAGGCTGTTGTGAATGTGAGCAGTGTGGTATTTTCTCTTCCGAAGGTGCAGTATTCTTAGGCTTAGACTCAGGCTTTTCATGGCTTCAAAGAAGTAAAAATTTTAAATTTCTTTTATTTTAAAGCTGATTCATTAGTGATAGTAAAAGTCTGGGGATCAGTAATTCTTCGTTTGTGCCCTAGCCTCATTTCTCCCCAGCTATGGATATGAAAGTGGGACAGGGATGGAAGGACAACTCTGCCCTCTGAATTTCTGCTGCAGTTTCCAGACAGGCAGATTACAAATTAAAATGGCTGATTCTCTTCCTGTCCCATGTTGCTATAGTTGCAACAACAAAGTTGAGCCACTTTTATGTAAACATCACTAAGCCACAAGGCAGGGCCCTTTCTGAATGACCCTAACAATTGTTTTCTTCCTAAAAACCCAGTTTTTTGTTTGCTTTAATTGTCTGGCTACACCACAAAGATAATCTCTCTCTTTTAGGTATTTCAGATTATCAGTATTGATACTTGAACAGGAAAAATTTGTGAATGTCTGAATAGAGTAATAAAAAATATACATCTTTAGCAGCAATTAGCAAAGTAGTCTTGAGTAGATAGTGCAGTGAGGTGGATAATTTTGATTGCTGCCAGTATTCTCAGTGTAACTGTATTTTCCAAGAAATTAAGGAGAGAATACAAATTGTTGGGTGTCATTGATCTGTGATGTTTCATTTTGCAGGGGCTCTTGTGTATTTGTAAGCAGACTTTTGTTGCTAATACATTTATACCCTTCATGCCTGCAACAGCCATCTGGTGGCAATTAAACTGTATTCATATCCTGTGACTTATTACTTTTAATTTTTCTTTTTTCAAACTGGGACTTCTAGCATCTGTTAGAAGATTCCCTAGCCATTTTCTTACTTAAAAATATGTATCATACAATTTATGTATGTGATACATTTACTGTTCTATATGGCATCCAGCTCCTTAGAAAATGCCTTGTGCTTGATCACAGCTGCTCATTAAGGACCCAGAGTGTCGCCTTTCAAGCCTTGCAGACATCCAGAACTCTCCATACCTAGCTGATGTCAACTGGGATGCTGTTCTAGAGAAAGCTGTGACCCCAGGCTTTGTTCCTAACGTAAGTCAGTATTCCAGGTGAACAGTGTTTGTAAATTCTGACTTTAATTATCAATGCCTTTTTACTGGTTTATGCTTGTATTTATTGCTCTTCAGTGATTTACCTTGGATTCTATTTTCATTTACTCAGTCACAGCTAAGGGAAAATTAGTCCCATTTCAATAGATACCAATAAAAACTAATTAACCTTGGTTCACTTTTTCATTCCTTTTCAAATAAAAGAAAACCTTTTCCAGACTTTGCATTTCAGCTGTTGGAGTAAATGATTGTCAGAGTTAACTCTGTGACAAAGAATACCAAGAAGACTGTTGTGGCTGTGAAAGTTAGACATTTGAATAACATTTGGAAAACTTTTTAACATCCCAGTATGCTGTTACTTTTTCACTTAAAAAATAGTGTTCCAAAAGACTGACCTATTTTCTTTGTGACAGTTTCTTACAATAAAACATTCCAGTTCTGTGAGGGAATCTGGTGGTTTCTTTTTTACTGTGGTCCCATTTTTTGGTATTTTTTGTTGGAATATTTCCTTTTTGCTCATTTTCAAGTTAAATGTATTTCAGGGCCATGAATACAAAACAATGTGGTGTTAATATGCTGCTTCACTTTTTTCAGCCGTGTTGCACTATAATTATTATCCAAACAACATATTTGTAGCATACCAAGATTTATTTCTGTGGTTTATTTAATTATGCAACTGTAAATAAAGATGAGGGAGGTGGAATAGGTGGACCCTGTCTTCATCCAGGTGCACATCAGAGTTCATGATAAACATGATGGGGACAGGATGCAGCCCTTCAGCAGCTGAAGGTGAGAGAGCATTGCCTAATGGAACAAAGATAGCCAGGTGTGTTGCCAAGACACTGCTCTCTGTGATTGCTGGGCTCCTTGGCACCTGACCAGAGCCGCTCTGGAAGCAACATCCTGCAGGGGAAGACAGCTGGGGGGGATGGCAAGCAGGGTCTCCCTCAGAGACCTGGGAGAAAGACCAGGAACACAGCAGGAAACAAGAACAGGAGAAGGGAATGACAGGCCCCTCTTCCAGGCCCTCCAGAGCAATGTTCATCTGTGGGGAAATTCCTTCCTTTCGCTTTGTAGCTCAATCCTAGTGCAAGAGAGAAGTTGGAGAGGTGAATGTCACTCATTCCTGGTCATTCATTCCTAGCTCAGTCCTAGTGCAAGAGAGAAGTTGGAGAGGTCATGTCTACCAGGCTATAACTCTTTCACTTGCTGGAATAATTGCTGTGCCATGCCAGGATCCTCCTTTACACCCTCAGGTCGCTGTCCCAAGCAAAGCAATGCAGAACAAAGCTCCTTCCTGGCCTGCTGCACTCCATGCTCCTGGCGTGTGGATCTACAAGATGTGCAGAGACTGACTTTCCTCTTTTCCTTTTTTCTAGTTAGAGCTGCTCTTTGAGATATCAGAGGTGTGGACTCGCTTCTCAGGCAAAGCTCAAACAATTGTTTACACCTCCTACTCCCAGCTAAAAGTTTAATCCACAACTGTCAGCACGTGGAAAACTTCACAACAGAGTATTTCATAAGGGAGATACTAGGTGTCTTTGGGTTCCCCATCCCCAAAAGTACAACATAGGTGGGGTTCCAAGAGTCTCAGACTCTGTGAAGATAGCTTTTCTTTTCACATTTGGTTTCATTTTATTTGTGTTTTGGCAGCATCTATAAAACTGAACGGGAAATCTGTAATATGTGAAGAAAAATAATATTCTACATTTAAAAGGAAATAGGAATAAAATGTTTCATTTATCTATCCAGATTAATCTGAAAGTCCCATTACAAGCTCTACCAGACTCTTCCATGAAGAATCTGATATTGCAAGGCTTGTTCCACCTGGTCAATCAATTGTGTCAGGAAAAACAGTAAACCAAAGTTCTTTTCTAGCCCAACATTTCTTTCTATAGAAACTGTGCGGTTTCATGAGACCAAGTTTGGTCACACATTTTCCAGGAACTTTCTCTTTGTAGCACGAGCAAAATTTTCATTGATTAATTGAGGCCACACAACATTTTTCAGCCTTTGGTGAAATGGTGAACTGGGGCCCCTGTGACCTGTGTTTTGAAACCAGAGAGTTTTATAAATTCTGACAGCTTGCTTTGACTGTCAGGAGCTTGTCTGCCTTCTACAGCTAGGAGGGCACACAGAAGGCCCATGGGAGCAATGTCCCATAGCTTAATTTCTAACAGCTTAATTTGATTCCATAAGCATAGTTACTACTTAACTAGCACATGTGTTTCTTTATAGCTTAGTTAGTTACTTCATTTTCAGCTTGGAGTAATAAATTGTTGTAGGGTTTTTTTAAATGTAATTTGCTTTTATTTTTAAAGATTCAGAATTAAGAGGATATATTTTTAAAGTACTCAATCAAATCTAAAAACTAAGGATGCTCAAGGGACGAACTGATATTGATGAAACCTAAGATATTATTTATTTTTTAATAAATATAAATAAGCTGTGAACTGCCAGTAAAAAACCCAAATATATTCTACTAAATCTGGCCGGATAATATTCAGGAAAAGGCATCAGATATCTAAACATAATGCTCTGACTATACAGAGTTTGCTAGGAATAAAAATAATGGAGTGATCTCTAAACCAAATGTTTCATTGTAGGACATCACAAATTATACAAGTAGTTTCTGATGTGATTTTGCTGCTTAGTGTCTTTGCTTACCATAAATATCTGCCATTTATATATGACTTATTTTAGTACTTCCACCTTGACAGTGACAATGGTGTGATTGAACTCTCAGAAGTCCCAGAGGAAAATAGGTTGCTTTTAACACCCAATTCAAATTGTTTGCAAATTTTTTGTGAAGGACTTCCTGGTATAACAAAGAATCTTAAATTTTGATTCAAGCACCAGAAATTAGCATAACATTTTTTTTAATGAAGAACCCAAAAGCAATTTAAGTAGTATGTGTAATGGGTAAGGAAAACCTTAATAAAGTGGATGGATAGAAAAAGAATAACAGATTAGAATAAAGCACCTGATTGGGAAAAGCCAGCAATGATTCTCCAAGGACAAATGGGATTTTCCAAACCTTATCATATTCAATGACAAGGTAACCTGCTCAGTTGTTATGGGGCAAGCTGTTCTCATTGTTTACCTGGATTTCTCTAAGGCTTTTGAAACAGTTTCTCACTGTCTCCTTTGTGAGAAATTTAGGTGTTATGGTATAGAAAAGTGATCCATGTAATGGGGAACTGGCTGATGGGCTGCACCTGGGGGAGGTGGAAAAGGCTCCTCCTCAAACTGGGAGCCTGTCACAAGTGAGGTCCCCCAGGGATCAATACTGGGACCAACACTGCTTAATACCCTAACATGTGATGTGGATCATGGGATCAAGTGAACCATGAGGAAGTCCATTGATGATACCAAGCTGAGTGGGGAAGTGACACCTTGGGAGAACTACCCTGCAGGAAGACCCTTGTAGGAGTGGGCTTACAAGAACCTTATGAAGTTCAAGGGTTAGGGCTTAAACCTGGGAAAATACAGTCCAGGGGTGTAGCACAGGGTGGGATCTATCCAGCTGAGGAACGGCTCCAGCAGCTCTGGAGGTCCAGGTGGACACCAAGCTCAGTGTGAGTGACCAGGGTGCTGCCATGGCAAAGAGAGCCAAGGGGATGTGGAGTTGCATCAACAAGTGCACCACCAACAGAGACAAAGAAGTCATTGCCCCACTCAGCACTTGCCAGGCCACACCTGAAATATTGTGTTCAGTTTTGGTCCCCTCTACACAGCCTTTGGACAGGCTGGAGAGGGTCCAAGGAAGGGCCACAGAGATGATCAGAGGAGTGGGAAATAGGCCACAAGAGGAAAGGCTGAGAGAACTGGACTTGCAGAACCTTGAGAAAAGAAGAATTAGGGGAGACCTTATCACCATGTCCCACTACCTAAAGGTTAGCCACCAAGATGGAGACTCCCTTTTTACAGGGGATCACATGGAAAGGACAAGGGGTATTGGGTACAAGTAACTCTTGGGAAGATTCCAGCTGGACACAAGAGCAAAATTTCTTGTAACATCAATCACCCATTTCAATAATCTGCCCATGAAAATGGTGGATTCTTTAGAATTGGGCTGTTTTAAGATCCAGCTGGACAGGTTGCTGGGCCATCTTGTCTGGATTGGGCACTGTGGTTTTGACCAGAAAAGTTTGACCACATGATCCTTGAGATACTTTCCAAATTGGGATTCTACAATACTGTGAACCCTTTTTTATATAAATGCTGCTAACCTGTGAAGGCCTGCCCCTTCCTTTGTTCTCATGGACAGCATCTAAGTAAATGAATCCACTGCAACACTTGAGCAAATCAGATTTCAGCAAGGTCTTAGAGGTACTCCCCAGCTCTTCTGCACTATTACTGGTGTCACAATTACTCTGCAGCACTAACTGATATTCTGATGAAGACCCTGGGCCAGATTAATCTCTCTCACTGGGGTAACATAACTTTTGTCACTCTAGGAATATATCTGTTTATAACCAGGAAGAAGATCTAACTCTTTATAATTGCTTTTTAATATGATTTTTATCTTATCTCCCTTATTTAAACTTTGAGCATCACTTCAGGCCTAAAAGGACAGTTTTCATTTTACAGATGTGATTGAGGAGCTGGTTTATTATTACTGCTGTTAACACTTGCCAAGCAAATTAAAAAAAAACCACAATGATGCTTCAAAGAGTAACTTTGAATCCTTTTGTACCAGAAAGGAAGACTGAACTGTGATCCCACATTTGAACTTGAAGAAATGATTTTGGAGTCCAAGCCTCTCCATAAAAAGAAAAAGCGACTTGCCAAAAACAAATCCAAAGATGGAGCTAAGGAAACCTGCCCACTGGTAAGATGGGGACTGTGACTGCAGCAAGTGGTATTTTATTTACACTCTAATAGACAAATTCACTTATGTTCAGCTTTATCACCTCTGAAAATAGACTCAACCTCTCTGTCTGTCATTTTATACATTGCATAAATCACTTCCAAAGCAAGATGAAAAACAACCATTTATTTCAGTCAAATAGTAACAACATCTTTAAGCTATAATAATTTTTAAGATTATCACAGATGCTCATTTAAAATATGAAAAACTGTTGCCAGTTGCGAAAAACACTTCCCACATATGGACAAATAGTTACAAAGAGTATTTATTTGCTACTACTACCCAAAATGAAAAGTATGCAGTTAAAAGGCTTGTTATTTATAAATATGTTAAAGCTCTCTCTTCCACTCTTGACTAATGTGTGCCATATAGAAAGATGCATTGTATGAACAGCCAAGAGTACCAAGAATATTAATAATAATTTCCAGACTTGAATTATCATTCCAGTGGGGTTTTATAAATTATGCTGCTACTCCTAATGATTTTGAATGTTCATGCAAGCTGTTCTTCCTAGAACTATCAGATGTAAAAATCCTCAGGAATTCTTTGTGAGAATTCTCTTCCAAAAGAATGAGATTGATTGTGCCATCACAGCCCAATTTAACAAGTCTTCGAAATGCCTCTTGATAGCATTCATTCATAAGCATTTTGTTCGGCGTTGTTTGTGTTGTTGTGATCTTTGTCTATGATTTCTCATCTTTTTTAATCAACCTATTCATGCTGTTTTTTAAAGAACGTACACCTGCAGCAGTGCTTGGAAACCGTTAGGAAAGAATTCATCATATTCAACAGAGAGAAGTAAGTGCATTTCTTAATGCCTCTTTAGCATTCAGTACTAAAATTAAATTGAGAACTATTTTTTTTCTCTCAGTGTAAGGGAGGGTGATTAATGATCACAGCAGCAGAGCCTAAAAGACTGGATTTCTTGTGTCTTGAAATCCACTGATTTCTTCCTCTTATAGTCTCTGGTGTGATGGTTTTGTAGTTCTTGCATCTCTGCAAGCAAGCAGAAGACCTTGTGATGAAAGTATGTTAGAAATATAAGGTAAATGTTACTGGAACTCCCCAGAGCAACTGTCAGTAATTAAACAGAGGAATGCAATAAAAGATACTGCTTTTTCACAACTCAAAGAAAACCAAGGGAAGTCATAACTCATGAAATTTTAATGATATGAACAACACTGTTCTGACTTGGAAAAGCTGTTCATACTTCCCCACTATTAAAAAAAAAAAAAAACAAAAACAAAAACAAAACAACAAAGTGTATTCCAGCATTAACTATTTCAACAAAGCTAGGAATTGCACCTCTACCCAGACATGAAGCAAGAACTTCTAATCTGAGGGTCAGTCAGGGCTGACAGAAGCACAAGACATTCCTAGGGATATCAATAATTTTCCTGGTTCAATTAATGCACTGCCTTTCTCATAATTACTGCCTCTGAGTTGCAGTCATTATGGACCTGTTTGTATTAGCAGATACAAGTCATAACAATGGGGTTTTTTGTGTCTTTGGTCAAATTATTGCATTTAATTCAAGTTTTTGAATTCAAATTCCATGTTTTAATTTGATCTAATTATATATGCAACACTTTCTAATAGAGTTGTGAGATGTTAAAAATTAATTTAAAAGCTGTGACTATTTTACTTAATGCATACAATGCAGGTAATTACTGTCTGTAATTAAAACTGAAAAAGGAACTGTCAGCTTTGCACAGTTCACACAATAGCATGAAGGAAATTATGCCACGATCTACTTTTCTTCCTGTTACAATCTGTGGGACATTTCTGACTGATATAGACTGCTCACAGAAAGTACAAGGTCTTAGAAAGAAAAGGAAGGTCCAGCAGATTCTTCATGTTATTTTGCATGATCTCTAGCACAAGAAAGCCATTGGTTTCTGTAAAAGCCAAAAAGAGGAGAAGCCAGACCAAGTCAGCCCATAGAAAATTTTAAAGAAGAATCTTGGTGGGTTCCCTGAATCAGCTGAACTAGTGAATGCTTGAACTTTGTAGTTTAAACCACAAAATTCAAAATAATTAAGATCATAATAACAAGAATAGAAAAATATTACATTGGTTAATCAATTTAATGAGTTTCCTAGAAACTGTTCATACAAGTAATTTATTTCCAGGCATTACTCTCCCATCAGCTCTAGAGTCATACATGAGGCATATGCAATACGGAACAATTTTTTGAAGTTAGAACACCAGGTATTGTAAGACACTCAAAATCTCATTGGTGTGTTCACTACCTTGAACAATTTCTCTTGTCATGATTTTACTGTGTTATTCTTAAATCTTTTTATGCATAGGAATTTTTTTTGTTTGTTTCATATTGCACAGCTACAGTAACAACACAAGCTATAAAGAACTCTGAGAGGCTGATGAGAGATCAAATTTAAATGGATTACAAGTAAAATAGAAACAAAAGCTAAAGCACATGCACTTCAATCAGAAAAACATGTGTTTTGATCATTGCTTGATTGGCTTTGACAAGGTAAAGGAAGAATATTTGGTTTAGACCTGTAACAGATCCTGCATTGTCTAAAGCCAGACCACAACCATTTCTCTTTAAAATTGCATCATAGCTTAAGAAAGACATGGAGAGACTTCTGTAGTATTTTTCAAGGAAAAAAATGTTAAGAAGGGGGGAAGCAGATGTCAAATGTTTGAAGTGCAAATTGAATTGAAGTCAATGAGAACAAAACAGGAGCTGTGGCAGGCACAGATGCCATCATGCCAGAAGAAGCTATGCAGTATAAACCAGAGGAACTCAGGGTGGGTTCCCCCAGACCTTCTGTGCCCTCAGGACTGGATGTACAAGCTGAGGCTGTGCTTACATGGGTTTCCAAAGCCACATGGCCCACCAAGTTCTTAGGAACAGCTGAAGATGCTGAAAGAGGTGAACCATTTGTTCCTACAAATATAATACATATTAAAATGTGATTGTATCATTAGGTGAGGTGTCAATCCCAAGCAGGCCTTCAACACTCTCAGATTAATGCAGCCAGATATTTTGATATTCTTCTATGTTCCTCTACATAGTAACTGTTGAAACCATCTGCATGTTTTCTTAGATCTTCATTATATTAAGCAGCAAAAATCTACATTTTATTGGCACTGAAGCCTTCTGTTCAGTTTGCTTCAGTGTCACAGAATACTACATAAATACTAATAAAGGATAGGATAAAAATAGCATGTCTTTCAAGGGAAAAAAATGAGACTCTCCAAACTATAAGGATGCAAGGATAAAATTCAGATGCTTCTCACTGAATAACATGAAGTCAGGTGTTAATACATAGTTAATTTTGTGGTGTTAGCCATCACAACTACACAGTATCTTGCAGTCCAATACTTGTAAAATATCTGCTATGAAAAGCAAAATCTGATTTTTTTGGAATGCCTTGCTGGTAGTTCTACTCTGAGCCTCTTTTCTACTGTGTGTCATTCATCCTGCAGCAGACACTGCAAATCTTGCAATGTGTCATACTTGCTTTTTCAAGAAGCTCAGGAGAGTATCAGAAACCCTTAGAATGCAGACGAGAGGAGCAGGGGGAGGTAGGGAAAAGGCCCTCTGTGCTAAAAAGAATTTAAACATTGTGAAAGAGACGGGAGTATGTTAAAAGTTTTTCTTAATGAAGACTAAGACAGAATGTTTGCATTTTCTTTATTCTACTGCTTTCTGTATTTAAGGAATGAAAAATCGGTATTTGTAGGAAAGTTTTTAGCAAGGGTTTCATGGACAAAGACATGAAGTTAGTGATTGTCAGCAGTGGGTAAAACACTTAGATTTGTATCCCTTACACAGTCCTGATCAAAGGGCATCTTCTGTTGACTATTTCAGTGGATGTGAGCTACAAATTAAAACATCTGTGTGTGGCTGTGTGGGTGTGTTTTGATGTGATGTGGGGGTATGGCAGCTGTCCACAGTGATATTATCTTCCAGTACCTTCAAGAGAGGGGCACACACTGCCCTGATCCAAAGTAAAATAACAGGAAAATCCTTTTGTAGGATTTGTTTTCTATTGTTAAAAGTGTCAGTGTAGTCTCTTAGTTTTGAACACATAAACTAAATAAACTCTGATATACAAATGGTCCACACACTGATTAGCTTGAAAATAATATATAAAGTAGTTTTCAGGGATCTGTTTGGCTCCTTTTTTGTGGCAAAATAATTAGTTTTTAATTCCATTTCTGTATTTTTATATCCAGAAACACAGCACCAAACATTTTGCAGTATCTTAATGTGTATTTCCATAGACTTGCCAGCAATTTTTCAAGAATTTGATATCATTTAGAAGATGTAGGCTACATTTTCAAGTTTTCTTTTTTTTAATTTTGTGTGTGCGTCTGTGGTGGGGGAGATTGTACAGATAAAGCCACACTGTTTTGTTGTAGCTTTATTAAAAAGCTGAGCGAAGATTATTTTGCTACTTTTGTGCCGTTATCACTAAACAGATCTTCACATACAACCACATCTCTTTATGAATTTTTAAAACCGAAAATGACCAGAAAGTAAGAAAAAGACCCAATATTTGCATGTAATGAAATCATATTTCTTACTTTTTATGGTCCTGAGCCTCTTCTTCTCCCTGAAAGATCCCTTTAAGATTGAAGATGTGAGAAATCAAAGAGAGAAGAAAACACAAGAAATATTTGCTTATCAGGCAGAATAATCTTTCAGTTAGACATTTCACAAACTTAATCAAAATTATCAGCCTGCTAAAGAAAGCAAAATCAAACATCCACATTTTACTGCATAGAATATGTATTTCATATAGCCAATGTACATGAAAATGGGTTAAAATTCTGCAAAACTATTTTAGCAAATACAAAGTACTGATTAGGAAAATATTCATGTTTTAATAATTCCAGTAAAAACTTTCAAAACATTACTAGTGATTTTGAATTTGGAGATTTTTTACTTAATACTAATATGCTGCAATAGCATTATTATGATATTCAGCTGTCTTGTCCCCACTGATCTGAACAGACTTGTCTCTGCCCTAAGTACTGATACACCTTATTCCTCTTCTCATTATTTGTTCAATGCTAGCACACTAAAAAATGTGCCACAAATTGAAGCACATTACTCTGTCTTTTCCTGCCATCATTCTACCATTTGAGCATATCTAGTTCTCTTATAAATGATCCTGAACAGCTCGAGGTGAACAGAGATCTCTCTTTCCCAGAATAAAGAGCAAAACTTGAGGGAGCATATTTTAAGTATAATAAGATGCTCAAAATCTTATTGTCTGATTTTTTTCTATATCATAGATTAAATGCTTACTTAATATTTTTTATAAGATCAAATTTTTTATCTCTCTCATTTTAATTCATTTTCTTTCCTTTTAGTTGTCTGTTAAAATTCAAATCCAGAGTCCCTGAATACTCTCTTTAATTTCACTTTGATTGAAATTGAATATTCGTAATGATTTGCAATGTAATTCATTGAATGAAATTTTCTTAATACGTATTTTATGTCACTTATTGTCTCTGGAGATATTTAGCATAATCCTTCTAATATCTGAATGCTTTTTGGATGAGGTTGCAGTCCTTTTCTCACCCCTTCTGCTGACCTTAATTCAGTTCAAATCCATTTCTTTCTGAGCATTTCTAGTGGTTACACTGCTCTTCACTGAACCTTTCTTCTCCCTTTTGTAATGGATCTGTCTGCTTTTGGAGATTGCTCTTTCATTGGAAAGATGCTTTTCTGAATATGGTGATTGAACCTGGTTTGTGTTTGGGCAGTAACAACTGTTGCTTGCCCACATGAGCCCTTTCACTCCTGACTCTGA